AGCAGCAGCTGCTGCAGCAGCAGCTGCAGCAGCAGCTGCAGCAGCAGCAGCAGACCGACCATGGCCAGGAGCATCGCCTGGGGTTTGCCGCAGTGGGAGCCTTTGCTGCTGCTGCCGGCTTCTGCTGCTGCTGCTGCTGCTGCTGCTGCTTCCACTTCTTCTGCTTCTCCGGGCTCCACCAGCAGCAAAAATTGCTCCTCCTGCGCGCACAGCAGCAAATAAAGCAGCAGCAAATAAAGCAGCAGCAAATGAAGCAGCAGCAAATAAAGCAGCAGCAAATAAAGCAGCAGCAAATAAAGCAGCAGCAAATGAAGCAGCAGCAAGCAAAGCAACAGCAAATGAAGCAACAGCAAATAAAGCAGCAGCAAATAAAGCAGCAGCAAATAAAGCAGCAGCAAGCAAAGCAGCAGCAAATGAAGCAGCAGCAAATAAAGTAGCAGCAAATAAAACAGCAGCAAATAAAGCAGCAGCAAATAAAACAGCAGCAAAGGAAGCTGAGCTGCTGCCTGCTGCAGCGCTGTAGAGGCAACAGCAGCAGCCGATCTAGCCGCAGCTAGCCAACCAGCTAGCTAGCTAGCTAGCTAGCTGGCTGTAGCTGTAGCTAGCTAGCTAGCTAGCTAGCTACAGTAAGGCCTTTGCAGCATAAGAAGCACAGACTCAGCAGCAGCAGCAGCAGCAGCACCGGCAGCAGCAGCAAGAGCAACAGCTGCAACAGCAGCAGCAACGGAGTCAGCAGCACCTGCAGCAGCAGCAGCACCGAAATCAGCAGCACCTGCAGCAGCAGCAGCAGCAGCAACAGCAACAGCAGCAGCAGCAGCAACAGCAGCAGCAGTAGCAGCAGCAGCAGCAGCAGCAGCAGGCGATGAGGTTACTTTGATTAGAGCTGGCAGCACGGGCCGCCTTGAGTCAATTATAGCAACTTTGATATTTTTTCGAATTGCTGCTGCTGCTTTCTTTTTATAATTTTCGATTTTGCTGCTGCTGTCTCTGTCGAGGGCGTGGAAGTCTCCTGCTGCAGCAGCAGCAGCAGCAGCAGCGGAGAGCCCCAGCTCCTGCTGCGCGCGCTGCTGCTGCTGCAGCAGCAGCAGCAGCTCCGCCTCTGCTGCTTCTGCTGCGCTGCGCTGCAGCAGCACATCAGCAACAGCAGCACAAAGCCCAGCAGAAGCTGCTGCTGCAGGGGCCCCCAGGCCTATAAGGAAAATGCGGTCATAGAGGGGGAGGCGGGGGCCCCCCTGCTGCTGCTGCTGCTGGCTGCTGCTGCTGCTGCTGCTGTGCCAGTAGCTGCTGCTGCTGCTGTACAAGTAGCTGCTGCTGCTAGCAGCAGCAGCAGCAGACAAAGACACTGCAGCTGCGCTGCTGCTCTTTGCTTCCACCTGCTGGTCCAGCCACAGCAGCACGTCGGCGGGGCCTAAAGAATAATAAATAAATAAATAAATAAATAAATAAATAAATAAATAAATAAATAAATAAATAAATAAATAAATATAACAATAATTAATTAATTATTTAATGATAATTAATTGCAGATGATTTGATATTAGTGGGAAATAGTGAAGGTGCAGCAGCAGCAAAGCAACAGCAGCGAGAGCAGCACGGTCCGCAGCAGCAGCAGCAGCAGCAGCAGCACGATGAGCATCTGCAACACAATGAGCAGCAGAAGCAGCAGCAAAATGAACGGCAGCAGCAGCAGCAGCAGCAGAATGAGCAGCAGCAGCAACAGCAGGATGAGCACTAGCTGAGCGAGCAGCAGCAGAAGCGGCAGAGTAACCAGCAGCAGCAGCAGCACAATCAGCAGCAGCAGAGTCCAGAAAGCAGCAGCAGCAGCAGCAGCAGCAGAAGCTCGAAAGCCGCAGCAGCAGCAGCAGACTGAGCAGCATCAGCAGCGGCAGAGTGAACAGCAGCAGCAGCAGCAGTCTAAGCAACAGCAGCAGCACAGTAAGCAGCAGCAGCAAAACACGCAGCACCATCAGCAGCAGCAAAACACGCAGCACCAGCAGCAGCAGCAAAACAAGCAGCACCAGCAGCAGCAAAACACGCAGCACCAGCAGCAGCAGCAAAACACGCAACACTAGCAGCAGCAGCAAAACACGCAGCACCAGCAGCAGAAGCAAAGCACACAGCACCAGCAGCAGCAGCAAAACACGCAACAGCAGCAGCAGCAGCAGCAGCAGCAAAACAGGCAGCAGCAGCAGCAGCAGCAGCAGCAGCAGCAAAGTTACTTCGAACGAAGAGCAAGTCCACTCGGATGTCTCTGGCTTTGTTTTGTCTGTCACTGAAGTGGCTGCGGGCCCACAGATGCAGCTGCAGCAAATGGCAGCAGCAAACGCTGTCCACGTCGCAGCTGCTCAGCAGCAGCACGGAGTGAGGCCTGCTGCTGCTGCTGCTGCTGCTGCTGCTGCTGCTGCTGCTGCGGGGCTGCGAGAAGCAGGAAAAGACCTCCTGGTTGAAGGCCTCGGTGGTCACGAGCACCATCGCCCTTCGCAGCCAAACGCATGACAGCCCCGCTGCTGCTGCTGCTGCTGCTGCTGCTGTTGCTGCTGCTGCTGCTGCTGCTGTTTGAGCCGCCCCGGGCCCCTCTGGCTAGACGCAGGGGCCCCCAGGGGCCCCTGCAGCTGCTGTGTCTGTTTGCTGCTGCTGGGGTGTAGCTGCGCTGCTGGGGTGTATGTACAGCTGGGACTTGCTGCTGCAGGTACACCTGAGCAAGCGGCTGCAGGCGCTGAGGGGATTTGCTGCAGCAGCAGCGGGAGCAGCAGCAGCAGCAGCAGAAGGACGTGGAGCAGCAGCAGCAGCAGCTGCTGCTGCTGCAACAACTGAATTCTGGGCGAAGTGAAGACAGGTGGGAACCGCAGGAAGCAGCTGGGAGGCGCGGCGGGGAGCCGGGGGCAGCAGATAAGTGGAAAAGAAGATAAATTAATATTATTTGAATTAATTTATTAATTTAGATTTGAATTTAATTGCAAAAAAGAAAGAAATAAAAGCCGCAGAGGCAGAGGTGGTACTGGTGGGGTTGCTGCTCGCCGGCCGATGCTGCTGGCGGGCTCGGCGGCGCTGGATCGAGCGGAAAACGCGGCAGAAAGCCGAAAAATCGAATTAATTATTCGAAATAAATATAAATTAATTAAAATAAATAAATTTAACTCCAATTTAAATGTCTTTGCATTAAATTAACTGCCCATTGAGGGTTCCAGCGCGGCAGCCAGCAGACTGCGCCCCCCAGGTGTATCGCCACCTGGTGGGCTGTCTGTCGCGACCCCCCTTTTCTCCACCAGTTCTTTCCTTCAGTTTATTTATTTTAATTTATTTTAATTTATTTTAATTTATTTAATCATTTATTTGTTTTCTTTGACGCGACGCCGCGGGGAATTCCCCGGGGGGCGGAGCCGCCACCCACAGGCGAAGACCGCAGAGCCAACACAGCGAGTGGAGGGGGAAATAAGGGAATAAAGAGGGGAGAAAACGAAAAGAAAGGAATTAAAAAAGAAAACAAATTAAAATTAATTAAAATAAATTAAAATAAATTAAAATAAAAGAAATAAATAAAACTAGTTGGGCCTCCAGATTCAAATTTAAAACGAAGGCAAACTGTGGCCTCTGTCACAGAACCGCCATTGCCTTTTCCTCTTTTGCTGCTTTTTATGCTTTTGTTTCTCTTTTAATTGTTATTTATTGTCTAATTATTCATTATTTATTCATTTATTTATTATTTTCTTTTTATTTCTTCTTTTCTTCATTTATTTCTCCATTTCTGCTTTTCCTTCGCGCTGCAGTCAAGTGTCTCAGGTGTATGTACACCTCGCTGCCGCTGCTCGCCGCTCATTTTGAATTTTCTTCATCGCAATTATTTTTTTTCCTTTTCTCATTTGTTTGTCCTTGTGGGGCCGCTTCCGCAGCCCCAAGCTGCTGCTGCTGCTGCTGCTGCTGCTGCTGCTGCTGCGGGGGATTTCTTTGCTGTATTCTGATGTAGGGCATTGCTGCTGCTGCTTTAGCTAGTGCAGCAGGAGCAGCAGCAGCAGCAACAACAAAACAGTTCCCAGCTGCTGCTGCTAGCGACTCCGGGTCAACCTGAAGCATAACAAGCAAGCCAATGCTACTCAACGACCTCCCAACGCTGCTGCTGCTGCTGCTGCTGTTGCTGCTGCTGTTGCTGCTGCTGTTGCTGCTGCTGTGGCTCTGGCCATAAATGTTGCCCTCGCTGCAGCCGTCACTGTTAGTCAGCTGCTGCTGCTGCTGCTACTTTGCTGCTGCTGCTGTTGCTACCTTTTTGCTCCTGCTGCTGCTGCTGCTGCTGCTAGTATTGGTGCTGCTACCCTACTGCTGCTGCTGTTACTGTTGCTGCTGCCGCTGTTACTGTTGCTGCTGCCGCTATTGCTGCTTCTGTTGCTGCTGCTGCTGCTGCTGCTGCTGCTGCTGCTGCTGCTGCTGCTGCTTGTTACCGTGGCGTGTTTGTACAAATAGGGCAAAACAACAGCAGCAAACTTGGCGGGGAAGAACACGAGGACCTCTTGCTGCTTCTGCAGTTTCGTCAGCGCCACCCGCAGCACCTGCAAGCACATATTAAACCCTAAACCCTAAACCCTAAACCCTAAACCCTAGGCGGCCCGGCAAATCGCAAGCGACTCCCCCGGCTGCTTAGGGTCTAGTTTTCAGTCGTAGGGCCTAGAAAGAGGGTTTAGGGTTTGGCGGCGCGCTTGAAAGCGAGAGGGTAGGGTTTAGGGTTTAGGTTTTAGGGTTTAGGGTTTAGGGTTTGGCATTGCCTGCAGCAGCTCGGGAATGCCCGTGCCGTCCTTTAGGCTGACGGGGACAGCATTGGGCGGCAGCAAATTCAAAACCTCTTTTAATTCTTTTTTGTTTTTAATTAAATCTATTTTTGTCCAAACTTCTATCACGCAAACTCCCAACTCGCTGCTGCTGCTGCTGCTGCTGCCGCTGCTGCTGCTGCTGCTGCTGCTGCTGCTGCTGCTGCTGCTGCTGCTGCTGCCAAGGGCCTTTCTGAGGGCCTG